GAGGCCAATGCAGACAAGGACAAGGCCATGCAGGATGGCGCCACCCCATTGGTCATCGCAGTTTACGAGGGGCAGCTGGAACTTTCACGTTTTTTGCTGGAGGCCAAAGCAGACAAGGACAAGGCCACGCATGATGGCAGCACGCCGTTGTTCATCGCAGCCCACGAAGGGCAGCTGGAGGTTGCACGCCTTTTGCTGGAGGCCAATGCAGACAAGGACAAGGCCACGCATCATGGCGCCACCGCTTTGCACATTGCAGCTCAGAGAGGGCACGTGGAGGTTGCACACCTTTTGCAGGAGTCGAACACGAACAAAAGAAGAAAGTTTAGGTGATTCGGCGCAGCAGTCGGAGTTTGCAAGTCTTTTGCTAATGCAGTGCGGAAGTGCAAGGTCGTCGGTGCTGGCACCACCCCTTTGGCCATGCAATCTGGTACAGGGCTGCGCACATTCTGCCGACGGCAACCACAACTTCGCGCACTGCTTGTGTTGCTCCAAAAGCCTGCTGTTGCGACGTAAGTTAAATGTATTTACAACCCTCTGCAAACCCTTCTGTCGCCATATAATTAGGACCATCATGATCATATACAAACCCCCTAGTTAGCTCTAATCAGCTTTTACCGAACCCGTCGGGAAACCCTACTTAAACCCTAAACCTTCAAACCCTTAGGCTTGCCCCAGTTTTGACTGCAGAAACCTTCAAACCCTAAACTCCCTAAGCCGTGAACCTTAACCCTCAACATTGTAACCCTGAGCCCTGAACTCTCAACTCTGGAGGTGTCCTTGGTATGGGAGAGCCTGAACATTAAGGATACGTCAGTTGGTGTCTCTGTTGGGTGGTGCTATTTCCCCACGTAACCCCAAACCCTAACAGTCAAGACCCCACAAAACGCCAAGACCCTACAGTCCTGAAACACCGAAGCACTAGACTAGAAACCGAAACCTGCAACACTACCCATAGGCCCCATAGGAGTTCCTTTTTTGGGGTTCATACTTAGAATCCTATACGGTAATCCCAACAAGGATCTACTATGGGGCCTATGGGTATAGTGACAGAGGGAGTATTTCATGCAACAAGCCCTAAACCCTAAACCCTGGACCCTAAACCCTAAACCCCTATGACGCCGAGTCACAGGCAAAAGACGAGGAGATGAAGGAGGAGGTGGCAGAGGTCAAGGAAGAAGCCAAGGCCGACTTCGGGTTCAGGGTTTTAAGGGTTTTTTTAGGGTTGTTAAGGGTTTCAATGTTTTTTTAAAATTGTGTTTAAGGGTTTTAAGTGTTTGTTTTCAGGGTTTTTAAGGGTTTAAAGGGTTTAGAGGGTTTAAGGGCTTTTAAGGTTTTTAAGGGTTTAACCCGAAACAAATCCAAAACGCTAATTCCCTGAACGATTCCGATCGGATCCATCTTGGCCGGGCGCCCTGCCTTTTGATTGGACCTCTTCATAGGCCCCTACCGACGTATACCTGCTCGTGACCATCCAATGTAGTTTTCAGTCGGGACTGACGACTTCGGTTTCCGCTACGGCAGGATTTCAGTGCCAGAGGGAGAGGTCCCTTTAGATTTATGGGTCTATGGTATGCCTGATCTTTTATTGTTCTCTTTACCTCTGATGACAGCTTCACGTTTGTGTGGTTTCACCTGGCCGACCTAAGAACCTTTGCCTCGCCTGGGTTGTCCGAGGGTGAGCGCCAAAACCCCTGAACGCCTGAAGCCCTAACTAGTACAATTCCTAAACCCCGAACCCTAAAACCTTGAACCTTTTATCATATGTTACTTTAAGCTTCAATGACTTCGTGGTTCAAGGCCCATAATTCGTGGTTCAAGGCCAATAATTCGTGGTTCAAGGCCCAGACTTCGTGGCTCAAGGCCAATATTGCTTGGTTCAAGGCCGATAATTCGTGGTTCAAGGCGACCGGCCTAAAACCTCGAACGATTTTGCCTTAAGCCAGAAATATTCGTGGTTTAAAGCCAGGTGGTTCGGTTTAAGGCAAAATCGGCCTTAATCCACGAACGATTTGGCCTTAAACCACGAACGATTGGCCTTAACCACGAACGACTGGCCTTAAACCACGAACGATTGGCCTTAAACCACGAACAACTGGCTTTGAACCACGAACGACCTGGCCTTAAATCACGAATATTAGGGCTCCTGGGTTTAAGTCACGAATATTCGTGGTTTAAGGCCATCATAAAGGTCAATACGAACAACTGAAGAGCGCAAAACGAAAAGTCTTAAACAGTTATTTGTTTGGGTTCTTTCTGTGTTTAATTACAGAAAGGTCCCTACTAGTCTTGTTTCGTTGCTTAACGGGTTTAGGGCTCCTGGGTTTAAAGTTCCTGGGTTTAGGGCGAACAAATCTTATTGTGAATGGAATTCATTTGAATGAAATACCTGTATGTATATTTTCCAATGTTATGGGATTCTAGGGTGGGTGGGTGTTATGTTTAAATCGTGAATGTAACTTTACTTTGAAACTGCTCGATCCGGAGCTGCTGAACCCCAATAGACTTAACCCCAGGCCTCTCAGCGTGGCCCTAAACCCTAAACCCTAAACCCCTAAACCAATAACCACAACTCAGCGAGCCTCAAGTAATGCAAGCTTTACGGCCTCAAGCCCTGAAGATCTTCAGCCCTAGATTCTGAAACCCCAAACCCTCAACCCTAGACCCTAAATCCAAACCTAGACCCTAAGCCCTAAGTTCTGAAACCCTAAGCCCTAAACCCTTCAACCCTCAACCCTAAACCCAAACCTAGACCCTAAGCCCTAAGTTCTGAAACCCTAAAGCCTGACCTCTAGAACCCAGCCCGGAAAAACCCGAGTTGAGATGTGGGAGTTTCCGAAAACACCGGGTACCTTCTTTTGGGGGTTCTTATAATAAGGATCCTACTCTTTAGGGTGCTACATGAGGGTCCCAAATTTTCGGAAGCCCCCATAGTAAGGAGCCGAGCCCCAAAAGTGCAGGCTCTGAGGGGTAAGCACTGCGAGGAGGGAACGCGCAAGTCCCCCGAAACCTGCACCCCTTTTCACGGCTGGGAGAAATTTGGCACCCCTGAACCCTAAACCCCTAAACCCGAAACCCTAAACCGAGGAAGATGCGGACATGCAGATGAAGGAGGTCGTGGCAGGGCCTAGCTTTTTTTAGGCATCTTCGGCTTCGGGTTGGTCTCTAAAATACTTAGATAGCCAATGGAGAACTTTACACTTTTTTCTATCCAAAAAAATGTTGAACTTTGTGGGCTTGGTTGTTGAAGAAGAGAGAAGATGGGGCTTTAGGGATCGTGGGTTTCGGGGTTTTGGGATCTTGGGCTTATAGGGCTTTAGGGTAAGTTCAATGGTTGGGGATCAGGGTTTAGGAAGGCTTCGGGGTGTTAGGGTTTAGGGGTTTAGGGTTTAGGGTTTAGGGTTTAGGGTTTAGGGTTTAGGGTACTTTGGGATTCGGTTCACGGACTGGGAGTTGTGCTTAGGGCTTAAGCGGGAGGATGTTGGTTAAGGTTTTGTCTTGGGTTTGGGATTCACCCTAAACCCTCATCGCTCTGTGAGTTCGAGCCTCTGGCACGCTCTGGTACGACACAGCTGCATGGGAGCTCAGGGTCTAGCGTTAGAGAGCGGGCGCGGGGGCTTGCTTTCTTTGCCAGCGAGTGAGCGGAAACAACGCCTACTGTAAACTTTAAACCCTAAACCCTAATCCCTAAACTCCTAAACCCCTAAACCCCTGAACCCTAAACCCGAAACCGTGTTCCTAGCGGAACTGCGAGATACTCAAGGGTCAGGGCAGCAAAATGACTTTCAGCTCTCAAGAGACCCGGGCCGGGTCCACCGGCGACCGCATAGGGGCCGAAATATGTTTGGCATTCCTGTTTATACTTACGGTTTAGAGTTTAGGGTTATATATAGATAGATAGATAGATAGATAGATAGATCTATAAATAAGTATATATATATATGTGTGTGTGTATAGGGTTATAGTACAATATATATATATATACATATATATATATATATATCCCAGGACCCATTTTTATTTCTTAAGGCCAGGAGATTCCTTAGGAGGCTCAAATGTCAGAGTTCGGGAGGCTCCTCGAGCTCTATACCTTTAACCCTAAACCCTCAACCCTCAACCCGAAACCCTCAACCCTCAACCCTCAACCCTAAACCCTAAACCCTAAACCCTAAACCCTAACAAAAGTCTGAACTGCCAAAACCTGGCAAGCTACGAGCAGGAGCCAAAGGAGGAGCCCGAGGCACCCCCTGTCGCTGAGCTGGACGAGGAGGCCATCCTTTTAGGGTTTAGGGGGTTTAGGGTTTAGGGTTAAGGGTTTAAGGTTAAGGGTTTAGGGTTTAGGGTTTAGGGTTTTAGGGTTTGGGGTTTAGGGTTTAGGGTTTGGGGCTTTGGGTTTAGGGGCAAGTTCAGGGTTTTAGGGTTTGGGGTTTAGGGTTTAGGGTTTAGGGTTATTGGCAGAGTCTGGGTTCAAAAAAGGGTTTTAGGGTTTGGGGTTTAGGGTGCATTGAAGAGAAGCGGGCTGTTTCTTTTTGTAGGGTTTAAGGTCCAACTCCGGGCGAGGTGGAAAGCCTGTCGCAAAAAAGGGTTGTATTGGTAAAGTAAAGTCTGTTGAATAGGAATAATTTCATCATAATCATAATCATATTCAGAATAACAATAATAAGTATACCCAGAGTCATCTCGACCATAATTGTAACACGAACAAAAATGAAAAAACACAGATACTAATACCAATATTAATAGTAGTAGTAATAGAAATAGTAATAGCAACAGTAGCAAGAATCTTAATCGTAATTGTAATGGTGATTATGAAAGTACGAGTATTTGGGGGATAGCAATAGTAACAACAGTAAGAATAATAGCAGTAATAATAACAATAGCAATACTGACAACAACCTCAATAATAACAATAGCAGTAATAGCAGAAGTCACAAACCAATAATAAACGTGATAGTTTTTACGGGTAATTTCAGTCATAAGAGACACGAGGACTCATAGTCCTCCTCATCATTATCATCGTCAAGACCTTTAGTGTCTGCACCATCATCAGGCTACTCGAAAACCCTACACCCTAAATGGACGGCTTCAGGGTTTGGGGCTTTTGATTTCTACACGTTCGGTGGTTGTAGGATGACGTGCTTCTTGGCCCGCTAAACCCTAAACCCTAAAACCTAAACCCTAAACCGTTTGGAATCTCAACCAGCAGAGGTGAGCTTCAGGTCGTGGGCGGACTTGATGGCTGACACTTAGAGCCTAAAATAGGGGCCTAAATAATTACCTAAACTATGTCGGTTGTCCCTTGTTATTATAGTTTTAGTATAATATACCCCAAAATCCCGTAATATTAATTGTCCAGGCCCCTATACTAGTTGCATAAAAGGATGACGTCTCTTTAGCGTTTTTTGTCAGGCAGGGAAGCGAATGAAAAAAGACGCTCTACAGCCTCTGGCACGATAAGGATTCTTAATATAGGGGCCTCCATAATTACTTGCAGTATTTTGGGGGGTTCCTCATCATAATGATAGTATATTGGGCTCCAAAGCCCTATTCTAATGATTAAAGCTCCTACATGATATCGGTTCTATCATGGTTATAACTGCATATGAATATCTATCTATCTGCTTATCTATCTATGTACATACTGCCTCCAAGACCCCAAACCCTAAACCCTAAACCCCTAAACCCCTAAACCCCTACCCGGAAGTGACCCAGGAGTCCCGGCTCTGGTTCCTGCCCCGCTCTACCACCGACATGGTGTCGGTGACCTTCAACAGCTTCTTTGCTCGAAGCTTCCGGTTGGCTTGTACAGTTTTGCAACAGGGTTCAGCGTCTAGGGCCTCAGGATTTCAGGATTTAAGGTTTCGATTTTCGGGTTCAGTTACGTAGGCTCAGTAACAGTTGGAGTAGATTTATATTATGGATATATTAGGCCCTTAATAGTAGCCCTATTGTAGACTGTTACTGTATGGGGGCAGTACCCTAAACCCTAAACCCTAAACCCTAAGTACAGGAGTCCATAGGCAAGCGGGGCTGATAGGTTCAGACACCGCGCCCCGGGCCAGGCCCTGCTCCGACATGACACAGGGACCTTACTTGGAGGTTCATGGGTAGTTATAAGTGGTAAGCTAACTATAATTATAACCCATATTAGGGGACTTATAACCCTACTTATAACTACCCATGAAACTCCAAGTACTTGTGGTTAGAGGTATATTTTACTATAGAAGCCTCAATAATTACTGTACCTAAACTCCAGAAGCCTAACTAATTACCTATACTATAGAAGCCTAAATAACTACCTATACTATAGAAGCCTAAATAATTACATATACTATAGAAGCCTAAATAATTACCTATACTATAGAAGCTTAAATAATTACCTATACTATAGAAGCCTAATAATTACTTATAATATTTTGGGGATTCCTTATCATAGCCTTGCAAACAACTCCAGAAGAACTCCCCATGAACGCCTTAGGTACTGTGTCGGATGTTCCTTTAGGTAGATGCAGAAAGCCACAGTAAACGAGACACTAAACCCTAAACCCTGAAACCCTGAACTCCAGACCTTTACACACTAAGCCCTAAATCCCGAACCCTACTGTAAACCCAAAGCCCTGGATCCTGAACGTCAGACCTTCTGAGGTTAGAAGTATGGGCCACTAAAATGGACCCTGAAGCCTTTCTAGGGACCCTTAAGGGTACATATAGGGTATACAGTAGGTATACTAGGGGCCCATGGCTTCAACCTGAGAGACCTTAAAAGCCCCAGTCACCGAGGCACTTTCGCCGACTTCACCCTCCCCGACGAGACGGAGAACTTCTCCGAGCACCTCGGCCAGAGCCAGGGTTGTTAGTTACTGAAGCCCCTTCCTAAATAGCAAATACATATATATATATAAGTATATATATATATGTTTATTTTTTTATTTAGTATTTGTTTATTCATGCTACATCCCCTCTCAGCGACCTACCGTTTTTGGCTTGCGCACGCAATGCTATTAACGTTACTATGCAGACTTCACTGACCGAAATATGCACTCTTTTCGAGTGGTAGACATAGTATATCGACCACTTCTAGTTTGGCTTCTCTCTCAGAGGCATGGTTGCTGTATGCAGAAACATGTGGTGAATATGTAACAGGTTCTAATCCAGCATCTACGGAATACTTGCGTAACTCTTGATGTTGTGTACTGTGGAACCAATGTCTCTGCACGTACTATAGTCTCAACACTTGTTTGATACAAAGTGCTATCAGTTCATGCGTAATGAACCGTAAAAGTGACAACAATTAATGCAGTGGTGTAATACCTTGTCAGTGCTGGGTGGATATTTACTCCCCATTGCCTCAAACCTATGCCATATCACTCCTTCATATTTCTTCGTAAGCTAATTGCTAACTGTATCATTGTTGGGATGGCGGTAATCAAGTATTTGCGAATTAGTATTTGCAGATGTTAAATCTCCGCATATTAAACGCGCATTTAAACCACATAACCTGTACTTGAGAATGTTTTTTCAACTAATGTTGCTGATTCATTTAGCGTGGTTTTGGAAGAGGTCTACTAGTGATAGTAAGATGATATAAAAAGGAGGATCTTAGACGTGGTTCGTATATGGCGTAAATATCAGTTGCTAGCCAGTAACATCGAATGAACACCGGTTGAAACTTGATGAAGCATTCCCTACTAGCGCATCAACTGCTTCAGTATGTTCTTGTGCTGCAATACAGTATCAAGCAGGTTTTTTTAGCCAGCCGGATATACATGCAAAGGCAGGTGATATTCCTTGATAAAAAATGCGATTGACGTGTCCACCCGGTATTGAGCAACCCAAAACTGTGCAGTACATATATTGGCTGGAAGGCCCTTCAGATATGTGTAACAGCACGGCTTCTGTGTTAAACAATTGCCGATGTATGCAAGAATCATGCATACGAGTAGATTTTAGAGAACAATGTCATACAGGAAGCGGAAAAGTTTAACCACGCATAATGAAGACTAGAATAACGTTGAGCCAATACTAGTCTGACTATATTTGCAGTGAAGACTAGCTTAATTAATGTTAAGCGAATATCTGTCAAGCACCAATAATCAACTAAGTTCAAAACGGCTGAATATGAACTGAAGTCTATTCAAGCATGAAGTCTTATTCAAGCATGTGCTAGTCAAAATCTGGCAGTACATACATTGGTTGCAGCATGCTGATCAGATTTGGGCGTTTCAGACATTTGTTTAACCACGGTCTCCATGCTAAACAGGTGCTGATATATGCAGAACATGCATTTGATCAATTGTTGGAGACGAAGCGCATACAGGGAATATGCATAAGAATTCATTTTTGGACAATCGCTCAAATACGCACAATGATGGCCAGCTTAGCGTTGTCACAATGTCAGTGTGACTATATTCGCAATGAAGACGAGCATTCAAGCACCAACAATCCACTAAGTCTGAAATGGTTGAACATGAACTGAATATTATTCAATCATGAAGTGTTAAAACATATAGTCATAATCTGACTGCGCTTTGATTCAACAATCTTTAATGTTTGGTACACATACATGACATTCTCAATGTGGCGATTAAGTCAATAATGTCTTTCCGGATAAATATCATACTTACAAGCTAGAACATTTTTGAACATGATAGTCAAATCCAAATCCGAAGCAATTAGGATCGGGTAGATACTGCCCGTTCAGCATCTGAGCATCCTTTAAAAGTTGCATCTGTCAGTGTGTTTATACTATCTAAGAAATAACTCTTGTTTTGTGAAGTCTTCGGCAACATTTAGAGGTCGTAGTTGTCGCCGCATCACCTGCAGCAATTACACAGCTTCTAGTATTACTCTATCAGGCGTACATTCTCTGATAATCATACAAAATCAGCCAAATATTTAGCATATCCCGTTCTTATCCGTCAGCTAAATTTAGTTTCCGGTTTGAACTAAACCAACAATACCCCTTTACCCAAACTCCAACCCGAAACCACACTCATGTCCTTGAGCCCTGTGGCAATCTGGAAGTACAGCAAGGTTTAGGGTTTAGGGGTTTAGGGGTTTAGGGGTTTAGGGTTTAGGGTTCTTGAATGCTTGGTGATGGGAATCTGCAAAGCATTGGGATTCGAATTCTTTGAACAGGAAAACGACAAAAACCATTGGTTTTCCAATGTTTTGTAAGGAAATCTGCAAAGCATTGGTTTTTGCCAATGGTTTCCATGATTTCTGGAAGATCTCGCCTCTGCTTTGGGCGAGTTCCGGAAAACATGGAGTTCATGGGTTCTAACCAATGATCGCAATAAGTCTGCAAAAACATTGGTTTTCCCTGCCAAAACATGGGTGTTTTCCTAATGTTTTGTAAACGAAAACTGCGAAACATCGGTTTTTGCCAAATGGTTTCCATGATTTCTGAAGATGTGATTTGCTCAAGACATGGAAATCATGGAAATCATTAATAAAAACCAATATTTCGTGAAGACTTCTGCAAAAACACTGGTTTCCAATGTTTCGTAGAGTAAATAAACTTGCGCTTTTTCGCTGCTTACAGAGTGAAACCTACCCGAATCCTCAAGTGAACTCGCAACCACTACTAGGATACGAACTTTGGTAGGTCACTGGGGGTACCTTGTATATATGTGTATACACATGTTTAAGTAGAAAGAGTATGTATACATATATATATATATATATCATACATATGTACATCTATCTATCTATTTGTCTATCTATCTGTATATATATATAGATATCAGCCCTTGTAGCAGGATTCCTGTATATGCCTTTTTTGGCATGAGTCCACAGTGCTTTAATTGTGGTTTGCACTGTCGCGGCAAGAGAGTTTGGGGTTTCGGTAAACCTTACATGGCCAACCTCACAGGGTCATGAAAAAGGACTTGCCAGGATCGGATGCTTAGGGCTTGTAGCTCTTCAGGGTTGAGAAGGTTGGTACAGTAGGGGTTAAGGGCTCAGGGGGTTGACGGTGCCGACAGCGTTTAGGGTACCCTCGTTGGTGCCACCCCGTCCATGATCCTGTTTGCAACTCATGTCCTTTGTGGCAAGATTCACGGCCGAGCTACTTATAGCAGGGATTGATAACCAAGGAAGGGCTTGCTCATATCATACCCTTGTCCACATATTCTGCTACGGCTATGCTTTAGCAGCAGATGTTTGGGGATTGTTCGGGTGTCTAGTGCCCAGTTATGCAGGCCCCCTTAATCCTCATCAAGTGCTATAGTGCAGCAACCCCGTAGCATGCCTAAAATATAGAACCTTCTCGGAATATGGTGCTTCGGCGTTTGTGAGTTCTGGGGTTCTGGCTGTTGGGGCCGGGATGTTTTAGAAATCCCTAGACCCGAAACCGAAACCCTAAACCCTCGGCCCTAAACTGCCCTAAAATGTAGAGACATAGGGTTTCCGGCTTTCCTGGCAGATACCCAAAAGTCCTGATGCAAAAAGGCATATTCAGAAGGATTGGCGCACCATCTTAGACCCAAGCCCTAGAACCCTAAAGCCCTACACCCAAAACCACAAACACAAAACCCTGAAGCCATAGAAACCAGACCTTGTGGCTTGCTTTGCAGTGAGGATCCGATACGAATGGGCTGGTGAAGTCGCGAGCAAGGACTACATGAAGCCCAGCCCTTACGAGCTTTTGAATTTCAATCCCGAAGCCCGCAAAGAAATTCAACAAAAGCTCGTAGGAATATGAATGCTTTTTCTGAACAGCATCCATAAACCCTTTTAACTTTGCACTGCAATCTCCGAACCCGACAAAGCCCCTAAGCAAGGCCTAGCCTCAACTCCTAAACTTTGCAGCGTAGCTTTTCTATGTCACGTCTGTATGTTTGTCTGTTTGTACGAATGTTTTTGTGTCTGCCTGTCTGTCTGCGTGTCTTCCTTTCTGCCCGCATGTCTGTCTGTCCGTCCATCCGCCCGACGGTCTGTCTGTCTGTATGTAGTTATGTATGTACGCATTCATGCATTTGCATGTACGTTGTGATGCATGTGTGCATATATGCACGCTTGCATGTATGTATGGGGAGCTGTCTTTTCACAAAATTCTTGAGTTTTCATTGCGCCATGGTTCTGGAATAAAGGCCAGAGTTTTATCAGAGACAAGCGCGCGATTTGTCGAAGAGATGCGCGTGCATTATCAAGAACATGCGCAGGATTATCATTCACACGCGCAGGTTTTGTTCAGGGGTCAGGGTATAGGATTTAGGGAATCCGTTGCACGCGTGTGAAAAATCTTTCCCATGTGCCTAGAAATCCCCGCGCCTTGCGCCTGCTAATCCCGACCTGTTCTCGATTAAATCCGGCACAAGTGCGTGATAGCGCAGGTCCATGTGTTGAGCCATGGCGCCTGAAAGAATCATCACCCTGTATGTATATGCATATGTATAGGTAGAACGCGAAGTAAATGAGCATGTACATGTATGTGTATGTACAGTATATATACATGTATATGTCTATGTACATGCACATGTATATGCATGTATCTACATTGTATGTATGTATGTATGTATGTATGTATGTATGTATGTACGTATGTATGCAGGTACGTATGTATGCATGTATTTTTGTTTGTCGGTTTATGCATGTATGTGTGTGTGTGTGCATGTGCATGTGCATGT